GCAGGGAGCCTGATGCGGGACTCGATCCCGGGACTCCAGGATCATGACCTGAGCTGAAGGCAGTCGCTCAACCAACTGAGCCACCCAGGCGCCCAACATGAGTGGATTTAATACACTCAACTGTACACGTAAAAGTGATAAAGATGGGAAACTTTGTGTTATGTGTATTTTAACATATTTTTTAAAGCATTAAAAAAAGAAACCTCTTCCAGAGCTTCCCAGGACTGCGAGCGTAGAGACCTTACTTAGCAGGAGGCCCTGCGAGATCTGGGTCCCTGCTCCCCACTGAAGGCACAACGGCCCCTCTGTGCTCCCCGGGCACACCCTGGTTCTTCCCACCTGAGGGCCTGGGTGCTGGGTGTCCCCTCGGCCAGTAGGGAGTCACCTGCTCGGAGTGACTGCCCGCTGACTCCCCCACCTACTTTCTACCCCATGTCCTGCTTCGTGCTCCCCTAGCTCCCCCGGCACCCCTGGCTTCACGGCCTGCTTGCCAGTCTCCACTACCAGCACGAAGCTCCTCGGCGTTAGGGACCTGGGCCTGCCTCATCCATCTCTGCCTCCCTGCTGTGGGTCGATGCTGCCATGGAAGCCGATGCTGAGACGGAATCTGCAGGGTAAGACCACCATTAGGGATAGTAACTGTGTGGGGAAGGGGCCGCAGCAGGCTTGGGCAGAGGGAAAGCCGGCTGGCAATGTGGGCCTGGCAAAATCTCAGCCGGCCGGGCCAGAAGCTCTGGAGTCGGTGTCGCCCACCTGAGTGGTTCCACACGGTGCAGAAATGCCGTCCTTGCTTGGCCGCCAGAAGGGAGCAGCCCCAGGAAGGGTGTGACCTTGAGTGGGGCAGTGTTATGTGCCCAGGGCAGACCCCAAAGTGACAGGTATCTAGAGGCTCTCTGCCGACCATGCTCCTCACGGCCAGGTGACAAGCTCTTCTGGAGGGGCTTCAGGCAATGCTTCTCCATATTTACCCCAACCCCCAACCCCTAGCACAATCCTTGGCACATAGTAGGTGCTCAGAATGAATGAATGAATGAATGAATGAATGAATGAACAGTTGATTGGATCTTGAAGTACAAACAGGATTTGGAGAAGGAGACAAGGCAGGAGATGTGTATTCGGGCATGAAGCATCCTTTGTGCAAAGGTAGAAAGGCATGAAGAAACACATGGGATGTTCCCGAATCCACAAACATGAAGACAAGGTTGAATCACTATGCAGGGAAGTGAGGGAATGAGGCTCAAATGGTAAGTGGACAAAGGCCTTGTAGATCACACTCGAATTTTGCCCCATTGGCAAAAGGATGCTTTCAAAGGGTTGCAAGAAGAATTGCCATGATCAGCTGGTTTTAGAAAGATCATTCTGCTGGCCTTCCTGAGGACGGCCCAGGAGGGCAAGCGAGGGACAGGAGGCCGATCAGGAGTTGGCTTTGAGCAGGCCAGGCCTGTGTCCTGAGGCGCGGGTACTGGAAGAGGACGGGAGCAGCCACAGATGTGGTAGCGGGAGGTGAGAAGGGGCTACCGCCGAAGTCTGGAACCGCCATCAGGGAAGCGTAGTCAGTAAAGAATAAACATCTAAAGAACAAGGATGGGCGGTCAGGGAGGAAATCAGGGAAGAATAGGGCCATGGGAACGCAGGAGAGAGAACAGTTCAAGAAGGAAAAAGTCAAGAGGGTCAAGGCCGTTAAGAGGTCAAGCAAGATAAGGCCGGAAGTGCCCATGAAGTTGACCACCAGGAGGGCAGGACTTGAGAGCAGCTTGGGGTGGCAACAGACCCAGCCCAGGCCAGTACATTCTCCAGTCTGATTTGAGGCTCAGGTTTCTCATGGGCTTTCTGGAGAAAACCTTCCTCTGTCAACATGCTTCAGTCCAGGGTGTCCCCCGCGTCGGACCACAGAGATGCTCCGGTCCATGTGACCCTCCGGTCGCCTTCTTTGGAAAGGCAATGGCAGGAGCCCGATGGAGCATCAGGAGCCCCGAGCCCGCATGGCACCGTGTGTGAGGGGCCTTAGGCCTGAGTTTCTCCTGGGGTGAGGGGTCCAGGTGGACGCTGCAATTGCCTCTGTTGATCTGGACTGGCCTGGCACTCAGGTTCAATGAGAGTGACGCAAGTGGCCGGCTCTCCACACCCTCTGACTTGAGTCCCTTGTGGCAGCCACAAAGGACACTGTTTCCCCATCCAAGTGCCCATTGTGTAAACTCAGCTCCAATGAGGAAAGAAACTGGATTGAGAAAAGAGAATATTTACTTTTCCCATCAAGCTGATACCCAAGTAAATAGTGTGGTCCCATCAGTAGAGCCCAGGCCCTGCCCTCCTCCTCCCCTCCAGGTAGAGCCTGGAGCATTTAAGAAGGCACCCCAATGGGCATGTCTCACACAAGACCACCCGATCCAGACACAGGCCAGCGCCTCACTCGCCAGCCTCCTGTCCACCATGAAGCTCGCTGTCATCCTCGCCCTGGCCACCCTGGCTCTCTGCTGCAGCCCTGGTGAGTTCCCAGAGCCCCTCTCCCCCAAGCCAGGCTCAGGAACCCTTCCTGCTCCCCAGTTCTGCTTCCCAGTTCTGCTCAGGGGGCAGCTGCTTAGCTGGAACACTGAGTCCCAGCCAGGAAGCCGGGTCTGTGAACAGGGCCATCTTGGGAACTTGGGGAGCGCCTTGAGCCCGTGAGGAAACCTGGAAGGGATCCCATCTTCCATAGCCAACAACTTCAGAATTGCAGTGTTGGAATAGACTGGAGGCAGGAATGGAGGAGATCCCGTAATGGATGTGTGTGTTCAATGGCCAACAGAATAGGAATGATGAGCTCCTCAGAGCCCAGTCTCTCCAAGAGACCCCCAAGATGCCAAGAGACCATGGTACAGTGCCACCCTCAGGTCTGGGGTCTCCACACCACTTTGGCAGCCGAAGGGGCTAGAAGGAGCTGCAGAGCCTCATGTCTCCAAAAGAAATCCAAGCTAAGGCAAGGTCACCCATTCTGGGCAGAGAGGAATATTCTAGAAAGGGATCTTCCCTTTGGGAAACTGCCAACCCAGAGTGGAGTTTTCTAAACATTTCTGTCCTCTGCCAAAAGGATTAGGAGTCTCTGAATAGTTGCAGCTGTAGGTTAGAGGGAGGGAAGGAGGGAAGGACAGAGGGAGGGAGGAAGTCCCCTGATCTTTTGGTAATTGAGTTACCTGGTTTTTACTCTGTATCAGCCTCTTCTACTCCTTTTAATAAGCAAACAAACAAAAAGTTTTTTAGCAAATTTCAATTAATTCACTTCAAAAGTTTCAGGACACCCATGGCGATAAGTTTGATGACCTTGGGGAGTGGCAGAAGAGCTGGAAAACCAAAACCAAGAGGCAATGGGGACAACTATTGTGTAGAGATATTTGTCTTTAAAGGGAAATAACATCATTTTGGATTGACAGGTACAGTTGACATGTACTGAACTGCACAGGGGTTGGGAGTGCTGACTGCCCCCCACACAGCCAAAAATCTGCCTGTAACCTTTGACTTTTAACTACTCACAGCCTGCTGTTGACCAGAAGCCCTACCGGTAATATAAACCGCTAATTAACACATAGTTTGTATGTCGTATGTATTATATACTGCGTTCTGACCATCAGACCCAACCTTTTCTGAATTTTTTCATTTTTTCTAGGCTACTCAGTTCATCTGTGAATCTCTTCAAATTGTCACAAATCTCAAAAAAAAAAAAAATTCCAATACATTTATTGAAAAAAATTCACAAGGGGCCCCATGCAGTTCAATCCTGTGTTGTTCAAAGGTCAATTGTATATTACTTAGATCTCAGTGCTGTGCATAGAGCTGGTGGCTCAGCAAGATAGGGCTGGAATATGGTAAGGGGTGGATCTGGGATGCCTTTGTGTATTTGTGTGTTTGCACACATGTCATAATAACAATAATAATATCCCCATTTATTCAGCACTGACAGTGTGCCAATCACTGTTCTGAACCCCTTTTGATCCTTACAATAACCCCATGAAATAGGGATATTATTCCCATTTTACAGATGAGAAAATGGAGCCACACAAAGAGAAAGTAACTTGCCAGATGACATAGTAAGTTGCAAAGCAGGGCTCTAAGTTCTGGAGGGGGTTTGACTTGGAGTGGCCATTCTGGGGGTCCCTGGAGTCCAGGCAGGGAAGCGGAACTTGCACACGAGGCAGAGAATTCAAGGACGGGGACCGAGACTCAGGGCGTAGGAAGCAGTGACTCTCCCCCATGTTCCTGGGGCATGGGAGTACAACCTGGGGAGCACTGCGGGTGAAAGGAACATAGTGAGGCCAGGCGTGGACACAAGAGGCAGGTGGGCAGGTGAGTGCACCCCAGGGGCCCAGTGCTCATGGTGCACACCTCTTCCAGTTCAGGGGCTTGCTCTTGGCCTGGACAAGTATTTCTTCCTGCCAGAGCCTGACTCTGCCCCCTGCCCCCCCACCACCACCCCCCGGGGCAAGTGGCTCAGACCATCACTAACCACAGGGAAGAGGCATGCTTCTGGCAGGACAACAACCAGAAACCCTCAGCAGCCCCTTCCCAAACCCCCACTGTTGCATAAAAGATCAGATCAGCAGCTTCTTTTATCAATCCTCCACCTGGAGCTCTAACAGAAAGAACAAATGGCAAATTGCCCCACCCCAACCCAGGAAGTACAAGGAGGGCTCGGGCAAGCCATGAGAAGCTGGCTGCAACCCCGGAAAGCCTTCCCACAGTGCCAAAGAGCCAACGGCGTGGAGCACCACCAGATCTCACGTTCCACACCATCCCATCGACGGAAGGGCTGCTCTCTCTTGCTGACAGGCCCGCCTGCTTGCCTCTGGGGCGGGTCCAGCCAGGGGGCTGGCCAGCTTGGAAAAGGGCCTGGACACGCATGCTCTCTCTTTTCTGTGCTTCAGCTTCTGCAGGGATCTGCCTGAACTTTCTGAATGTCATCAAAACCCTCTTCACGGACACGCTCTCCAATTACGAGGCTGCGATTGAATTTTTCGTCCCAGACGCCGACATAAAAGATGCGATGATCCAGCTGAAGAGTCTGGTGGACACCCTACCCTCAAACACCACGGAGAACATCCTCAAGTTCATGGTACATAGCTCCCTTCCCTCTGTGCCGCTTAGCAGCGGATCCCCACCCCCGCTCCGCCAGTCCCTGGGCTGCAGCCTCGCCCCATTTTTTTGGAGCCCTTTCTAGCCCTTTGGAGCAGACTCAGTCATCTTATGCTTTTTAAGAGGCTTCTGAGAAATAATCAGAACTCTTACAAGCTTAGCTCTTCCCAGGGCTACTGAACCTCTTAACTGACACTGAAGTTTCTGCGTGCAGACATCTTGGTCTAACTTTGAGTTTCGCTCACTATTGTCTTGGGGTTTTTTGGTGTGTGTCTGTTTTAGGGCATAGTCTTAAAGAGCCCAACGTGTGCTTAGGACTTAGAAGCTGAAGATCTCCAACTGCTGGAGCTCCTGCGGGTCCTGGACACTTCCTTCACTCCGTCCCCAGCCTGGCTCCCTTCAATAAAGTATAAGCATCGCACCTTTGTGCCCCCTGCCCCCGCCTCTTTTTTGCTCACCTGCTAGAGTGAGGAGGTCTGCCACTGTGAGGGTAAGGTTAGCAGGTGCAAAGAGAAAGGCAGTGGCCAAGCAAACGCATCTCCGAGGGGCCCAGGTGTCTCAATCCCAGTCCCCCACACATATCAGACTGGCCACAGGTGGCAAGACAGTGTCCAGCACACACTCCCTGGCCTGGGCAGAGAGCCACCCAGGGCCCTGCTCAAACTTAACCTACAGGGGAAGAAAAGGGGGTCCATAGAGGGTGGCGGCTGACCTCAGACAGACTCCTTAACCTCCAGCCATTTAGTGATGAAATTAACTGTTCTGTAAATATTTAAGCTGATTATGCTACCCAGCCACACCTGGAATGGAAACGTCTGCTTCAAGCATGTGGACAGAGCAGTTGGGATTGCTCAGGGGCCGGGTGGCCCAGCATCAGAGCGCCTCACATCACACACAGCACACAATCCCTCGTGGAAGGAATCGGATTCCTGTAAGACACTTTACACAATAAAGGCGGGAAGGTTCGGTTCCTTGATTAGGGATCCAAGGTGTTTGGGGTGACTTTGAGGGTGACAGACCCTGACTCCTCAGGGCCAGCAGGGGGGTTCACGTGGAGTCCCCAGGCATGGCGGGATATATGCTACATGAAATTATTTATTAAACTATTTTTTGGGGGGCGCCTGGGTGGCTCAGTCATTAAGCGTCTGCCTTCGGCTCAGGTCATAGTCCCAGGGTCCTGGGATCGAGCCCCACATCGGGCTCCCTGCTCGGCGGGAGGCCTGCTTCTCCCTCTCCCACTCTCCCTGCTTGTGTTCCCTCTCTCGCTGTGTCTCTCTCTGTCAAATAAATTAAATCTTTAAAAAAAAAAAACAAAAAAAACTATTTTTTAAAGGGGGTGGAGAACAGGAAAAAAAAAAAAAAACCCTGTTATGCATTTCCTAGATCCTTTTATCTGTCACCATAGTTAGGACATTATATTTCCAGGTTGGTTGGTTTGTTTTTAAGTAGTCTCCATAACCTGCATGGAGCTCAACGCGGGGCTTGAACTCAACCCTGAGTTCAAGACCTGAGCTGAGATCAAGAGTTGGACACTTCACCGACTGAGCCACCCAGGTACCCCTACATTTCCAGGTTTAAATCGGAAAAGCCTACAAGTCAATCTGTCCATTCACATCAGTCTTACTTTAAAGACATCTCTGCCCCGAAGAGAATCCCGGGGTGGGAAGTGGTGTCACAGATGCAGGGCTGGTCAGCACCGGGTTACTGCTGTCCACCGTCCACATCCACGGGGTAATGCTTTTGCGCCCTGACTTGCGCCCCTGCCCCCTTCCCTGAGTCCCTATTCGTTCAACTTTCCTGCAGAAAGAGAATCAGTCACCCCTTTCTTCTGTGGCAAAGGAGTCTTCAGGCATGAAATTAATCCCTAGGTATTTACTGGCACTTTCGATGCACGCATAGTGGGGCTGGGCACTCTGAGGAACCCAGGAGCGGATTTCATAACCCAGCAAGTATGTGTAAAGCACTTGCTCTGGGCCCGAAGGGCGCTAAGGCCCAAGTATGGCAGCGTGAATAAAGCGGGGGCTTCAGCTCTCAGGGAGCTGGCGATCGGCTGGGGAAGCTCACCAGCTCTGGCAAAATAAGTCAATAAACAGGTAGATGAAACAGCGATAAAAACCATAAAAGAAATCCATGGAGTGATGCGAGCCAGAGGAGCTTAGACAGGCCAACTGTAGCTCGGGAGACCCCCTTCTTAGGATTTGAGCAGAGACTTAAAGGGAGGACAGGAGCCAGCCCCCGGGGGAGGGCATTCCAGGCAGAGGGTAAAGCAAGAAGGAAGATCAGGCAGATGCACAGAGAACGGAGTGTGGGGGATGCCTGGGACACCCCCTCCCTTCTTGAAGCCCCACTGAACCCAGCCCTTGGACCCCAAGAGAAAATTCAGAACCTGTCTAAAGAACCTTTCCTCTAGGTTCTGTTACCTGTCCCCAAAAGAGCCCAGACCTCCTTCCCAGACCATCTACCCCACCTCTCAAACTCTGCTTGTCCAGAGGAACTCATGCTCCACCCCTCACCCCAGGCTCTTTCCAATCTCAGTCCGCTCTCCGCTCTCCGGCTGCTGCAGCCCGAAGGACGGGCATCCCTGACCCTGCCCTGGGCAGTGCCCATTGCATCCAGCCAAGCAAGTCAGCCTCCAAAGCATCTAGGAACTCCCTCCATGTCCCCAGGGCCACCCCCGACTGGGCCACACCAGCCATCTCTCCCTTCACAACCCAGGGGCCTCCTAGCTCACACTCAGTGCCCCTGAAGTCCATTCTCCTCCCAATTGCCAAAGTTATTTTAATCACGTGAAAACCCCCTTCCCCCGCCACCCTCCTCTACCAAGTAAAATCCTTCAAAGCTTTCTAGCGCTCTTATAAAATGCAAACTGTGGAACCTGCCCATCACTGGCTCTCACCTCCCGCCCTCCTTCCCGTTGCTTATTCCCTCTGCTCAGTCCACGACCCACCCTCCCCCGCTCCCTGCCTTCAGGTCAGTGTTTTTTTTTTAAGAGCCAAACCCCTTCCCACCTCAGGGCCTTTACCCTGTCCTCACAGCATCAACTGCTCAAAAGTACTGTTGATGGGTTTAGAAAATGGCCCTAGAACAAAATGTGCAAAGAATAGAACTTGTCATAAAGATGTGTCCCGTATGGATATAAAAACACCCCCTGTTCCGTGGCCATCGGTCCCCGGCCGGGCCACACCACCCGCGGACACTGAATGAAAGTGGAGGACGTGCGGAGGGGAGGCAGGCACGGAAAGAGCATCGGCGGAGCGCAGGCAAGGAGGCTGCTGAAGAGAGAAACCTCTGCAGGCGGAATTTTCCAGCCAGCCCCGCCGGTGGGCGGGCGTAGACGCGCCTTCCCCGCCCTCAGCGCCCGGGGCCCGCGGCCACTAGGAGGCGGTGTCGGCCAAGGTGTCGGGGAGCGGACGCGCGGCTCCCACACCCTGCGCACCGCGGCCCTGAGCCCTCCCCGGGACAGATGATGAAACCCAGCGCCTTTCTGGGGCGCTTTTATCGCGTATATGATTGCTTTAATTTGATCTCTGAGATTTTTTAGATTAGAATTCTGAGAAAACACAGGGACAGTCCCACAAACAAAGCGGTTGCCCGCGGAGGGCTGCCAGTGATGATGTGTCAGCCCTTTGGGAATTAGTAATAATTCCATTCCCAGACGATTCCAAGGGCGAGTCCCGCAGAATCTACAACCTGCGAGGACCAAGGGGCGCTGCTAGAGCTGTCTTTCGATCTCATTCCGCCCCATTTTTCAAGTCTGGCAGCAGAAAGTGCAACCTAGTAATTATCTTTATAGATGGCTTACTTGCTGGGGGGCATTCTTGCAATTTCTTAGGCTTCACACAACCCAGATTCCAGAGCCCAGGCCCCAACCCCTGCTCTACAGAGAATGAGATTCCAGATGCAGGAATCTGCTAAGCCAATAAATAAGATTGATGAGCAATGTCCACCCACCCCCAAACACACACGTGCACGCACACATCCTAAAGCCACCACGCCCCACCCTTCCTTGTGGGACAATGCTGAGGGACTGTGGGACAAAAGAGGGACTCTGTGGTGGTAAAAATTCCAGAGCAGGTCATCAAGATTGGCAGTTTCAAAAGAGATTCTTGGCAGAAGGTGGGACCCTGGTGGGGGGCCTCCTGACTCTCCCACCTCCTACACTCACTCCCTCACTGCTCAGGCCCCGGGTTCTTCTGCATCCAGGTCATCATCAACTCACATACCTTTGCCTCCCGTGAGCCCTCCACCTAGGTGAGTATTGTTCGAACAGATAAGGATCCCAGGGCCCTAAAAGGTTCAGAATTTTAATTACCTATTCACAGCCGGGGAAGTATTTACCTAGGGCAAATACAACACAGGTATCCTGAGATGAAAGGAAGTACAATTATATTGCAGCAGGCGTCCACCTCAAGGGGGCTAGAGATGTAGGTGATCCACACGAATGTGAGCTCTCAACCCGGAAACGTGTGTTCAGTTTTGAGAGAACAGAATGCAAGATGAGGGCGCCTGGGTGGCTCAGTTGTTTAAGCGACTGCCTTCGGCTCAGGTCATGATCCTGGAGTCCCGGGATTGAGTCCCGCATCGGGCTCCCTGCTCGGTGGGGAGTCTGCTTCTCCCTCTGACCCTCCCCCCTCTCATGTGCTCTCTCTCTCTCATTCTCTCTGTCTCAAATAAATAAATAAAATCTTTAAAAAAAAAAAAAAAGAATGCAAGATGAACAGATCCCAACCACAGAAAGAGCACGAATCCGTGTGATGCGTGTTGCCAGAAAGCAGAAGGAGATTGGAGAACTGAAGGAATGTTCGTCGGGTTCTTTTCTGTCTGCATGTGCTTACCCATAAGTTAGAGCACAGGCCCGCACACTCTGGCCAGCAGCCTGCATTCAAGCCATGGCCTGTTTTTGAAGATTTTATTTATGTATTTATTTATTTGACAGAGAGAGGGAACACAAGCAGGGGGAGTGGGAGAGAGAGAAGCAGACTCCCTGCTGAGCAGGGACCCCCGATGTGGGACTCGATCCCAGGACCCTGGGGTCATGACCTAAGCCAAACGCAGACACTTAACTGACTGAGCCACCCAGGCACCCCCACTTTTCTTTCTTTTAAAGATTTGAGAGAGAGCGCACGTGCGTGCACAAGTGGGGGGGGAGGGGAGGGCAGAGGGAAAAACAGACGCCACACTGAGCAGGGAGCCAACTCGGCACTCGATCCCAGGACCCTGGGATCATGACCTAAGCCAAAGGCAGACGCTTAACCAACTGAGCCACCCCGGCGCCCCATCCATGGCCTGTTTTTGAATGGACCTCAAGCTAAGAAGGGTTTCTACATTTGAAGAAGGAAGAGGAGAGCAGAAGAAAAAGTTTGCCCACCCCTGTATCATATAAATATATAATTATATAACCAGTCATTTTCACCATGAATA